CCCCCCCTCCCGTCCGAGCGAGGATGAATCCACACCGAAGAATTGCACGCGCGGATTTCTGAGTTTCTGAGGAGTCTCTGTTCTTCGCCTTCGGGTCTACAGGAACCTGTCCGGGCGCCGCCAAAAAGCATGGCTCGGGATCAGGAGATCGTTCTCAGCACCCTGCCAAGGTCCATGGTTAGGTCGGGCATGTCCCCCTACAGGCGGATTTGGGACGAAACATGAAAATAGTCAAAACATACTCCAAGATAGTAAAACAGAATATTTAAAGAATCGTCCCCAGAGTATTTTGTTGACTATGTTTGGATATCCCCCCGTAGAGGGACAGGCCCGACTAACGTCCGCGGCCCTTTCGCATCCGTGCCAGCCCTGCAGCTTCTGGTCGATCGCCGGAGCCCAGGAGATGGACGAGCACTACAAGAACGCCGTGATCGGGGACCTCATTGGCGATCCGCTCAAGGACGGCAGCCCCCGCGTGGGAGGGCCCAGGGCGGCGCGGCATTCGAAGAAGCGAAAACCACATATAGACAGAAATTTTGAGCGCTCCGCGCGGATATCTCGGATCCGCGCGGGGCCCCCCAGGCGGCGCCTCTGGCGCCGCCCCCGGCGCGCTCCGCGCGCCGGGGAGGGGGGTCCAGCGCAGATCCAAGAAGTCCGCGCGGAGCGCCGAAAGTTGATGTTTATGGCGTTTTTTCTTCTTCTAGGGAGGGCCCAGGGCGGCTCGGCATGGCGGTGTCGGCGGGCTTCAGGAGGATGAGGAGGAGGAGGAGGAGGAGGAGGAGGAGGAGGAGGACGAGAAGGGAGAGAGGTTGGAGGAGGTGGAGAGGAAGGGTCAAGCAGCGAAGAGCTTCATCGTGGCGGCTCGAAGAACTCCGCTGGACGTCTTCGTCATTGTTCGGCTCGTGTGCCCGCTTCTCGGCCTCGGGACCACGGTCATGACCCTGTTCCCTCTGGGCCTTTCTGGCTCATGTTGATCAGGAGGGAAAAAACACACAGACACAATCAATCGTCGATCCCCACGAAAATATGGGAAAATATGGGAACTGGGCGGGAAGACGAAAACCCAGAACATATCGGAAAAGATGGGGAATCTTTGTATTTGTGTGTATTTCTTTGTGTGTCCTTGGGCCCCTTGAGTCGAGGGAGACGCTCGGCAGAGGCACGGGTGCTGCTCTATTCCTGTCCCTGTGTGCCCCCCGCGGCGTGCGGACGGGATATATGGGCAGGCGGGGAGGGAGGAGAGACGGTACGGGGGGCGAGGCGGGCAGAGACTCTGTGGGCCCCGGAAACGGCAGGGCCGTTTTTTCCTCGTTTCCCAAAAAATGCCCTTTGAACATGGAAACGGCGAAAAAACGGCGACCGGAAACGGCAACAAAAACGGCTCCAGGATGGGAACCGGAGCCGGAAGCGGTCAGAAAACGGCGACGGAACGAGTAACAAAAACGGCGTCGGAACCGGCAAAAAAAACGGCAAAACGGAACCGGTAACAAAACGGCCCTGTCGTTTCCAGGGCCCACTAAGGGCAGAGAAAGAGGGAGGGGGGGGGGCGAGGCAGGCGCCGCGCGCTGTGGCCCCTCGGGCGGGTTGGCCGCGGCGTGTCGGTTCTGGGTGCGTTTACGCAGGGGCCCGCGCAAGCTCAAGGCTGGCGCGAAGCAGTGGCGCGGGTTCTTCCCACTCGGCGCGCACGCGACTGCCGAGCCATCCTTGCTCGTAGCGCAGTGCCTTCTCTTTCACCCCAGGTCAAGAACATGCACCAACACAGGCAAAGCCAGCGTTCTTCGCGGTGGGCGACGGTGCAGCCAAGGACCGATCGATGTCACTGCACCCTCCCTGCTTTGCCAGGAAGGCGCAACCACCGATCGTTGTGCAGAAGGTGTCTGGTCAGTCAGTCAGTCATGCCATACGCCGCAGCGCGTGGGCGAAGAAAAATACTGCCCGCCTGGAATCTCCGCTTTGCGGGAACGGCGGCGCCTGTGCGGCCTCTTAATCTACATCGCCAGCGGCTGGGGCGGAGTAGGAGCAGCAGCAGCAGGGGGAGGAGGAGGAGGAGGAGGAGGAGGAGGAGGAGGGGGGGAATAAGCAAAATCAACTACGAAATTGCGCCAAGCAACTGGATCGCGAGCGCAAGGTTTCTGGTCACAGGGTGGTATATTCACAGTGTCCGGTGTGTCTGTGGTTGACGTGATGCGTGCACCACTTGAGATAAGTGCTGCTTCGTGAACGTGTATACACCGATCATGGTCCCAAGACTATCATATGGCCTCCCTCTTGCCCCCTCCGCCCCCGGCGGAGCCTCAAAGCGCGCGAGCATGCGCAGCAACAGCCTGCTCTCCCCCCGTTCCCAACCCCGGAAGTCGCGGAGAGTGGGAGGGGGTGCGCGCGGGATGAAGCGTTTCAATTGCCCTTCGTGGCCCAGGCTGGGGAGTCGGAAACTAGAGGCAGAAAGTTCCTGCGATTTCCTTGCTGCTACTTCTCGTCATGGTCGTCATCCCTCTCCTGCTCACTCATCCCCAGGAACACCCCCAGCACCACAGAGAGCTCTCGAGGCAGGCCACTCGTCATCGTCTGTCGCCATCGTTCTTCCCCTTTCCCGGCGCGGCCCTACGGGCCGTCTGCAGGCGGGGGCCGCCGAGGGCAGGGCCATGGGTGGCCAGGCTGGCAGGGCGAGCGGCGGCGGGGGAAGGATGCAGGATGCACGCGCTTTTGCTTAAACTTCCCGTCGCTGGCGCCCATCCCCAGACCTCTCCTGGAGCGCGCTCTCGCCGAGGCGGACCCCGCCGCGACGACGATGGTGCACCCGGCGGCCCACAGGAGAAGAAGGAGAGAAGGAGGAGGTGGGAGTGAAGGAGGAGGGGGAGGAGGAGGAGGAGGTGGAGGAGGAGGAGGATTTGGAGGAGGAGGAGGACGACGACGACGAGGACGACGACGATTTAGGCCTCCTAGATCGGGTCCGAGTAGACGGAGTTGGAGGATCGCGCCCCATATCGTCGATGCATCGGCGATGCGGCTCGATGTGGAGCCCGATTTTCTTCACGCCAGCGTCACCGATGCATCGCCGATGCATCGGCAATGTGTCGCCAATGTTTGCTGCAACGCGCCGCGATCCTCCCACCCCATCTACTCCGACCACATCTAGGAGGCCTCTAGAGGAGAAGGAGGAGGAGGACGACGACGAGAACGACGATGACGAGAAGGCTCCCCGTCGTCTTCGTGGCACTGTCGGCGTGGTCTGACCGCGCGCGGCAGAGGACGTCAGCGGGCCGTCGCTGAATGCCGCCGCCCCGGACCGGGGAGGCGCAGGGGGTGTAGTGTAGGCTGCTCGCAAGAGTGACCTCCGCGAGAGTAATGCTTGGTGCGGGCCCACAGTCCTGCTTTGTGCCTACACGGGACGAGTTTTTGCGACTGCAAGTCGTCAGCATTGTCGCATTGTTTTGCCAACTTTTTGATTCAAAATATGTAAGCCAGCCGTGTTCTCTTCGATTCCTTGCCGATGCGCCGTTGCCTGGCGCCTGGCTTGACTGTCTGACTGACTGGCACAGCTGTCCCCCGAGCACTCGCCTGCGCGCTTGGAGATCAGGGGCAACGATAGGGGGGACAGGCATATTGGGGGGATGCATCGACCCCCAATCACCTATTGATCTCCGATAGGGGCCCGATAGCCCCAACCCGCCCAGGAAGGAGCGGATTCACTATCGGGGGCCTGTCGGCGATGTATCGCCGATTACAAGTCGATGCATCCCCCCCTGTGCCAGTCCCCCCCTATCGTTGCCCCTCAAGAGAGGGGCGCCCCTGGCCCCCTGAATCCGCGCACCAAGGGTCCCTCTTGCATAGGGTCACTGCTGCGTGTAGACGATGGTCGGCCCCCCGGCCTTTTTTTGCCCCGCCTCTGACGACAAGGAGGAGGAGGAGGCGGAGGAGGAGGAGGAGGAGGAGGAGCCGGAGGAGGAGGAGGCGGAGGAGGAGGCGGAGGCGGAGGAGGAGGAGGAGGAGGAGGAGGAGAAGGATGCGGAGGAGGGGGGGGAGGAGGAGGGGGAGGAGGAGGAGGCGGAGGAGACGGAGGAGGAGGGTAGGAAGGGGAAGGGAAAGATGAGGAGGCGGAGGCGGAGGAGGAGGAGGAAGACGAATAATAATAAGAATCGAGGAGGATGCGGAGGAGTGTCGCGGTGGAAAGGAGGTCCTGGGAGTGGCGGTATTGGTACGTTGTAGAACCCCTTGGATGACGAAGAAGGAAGGATGAGGAAGAAGAGAAGGACCACTGTAAACTTTAGACGCATTAGCGATGTTGCAATACACCCTCCCTCCATTTCCCTCATCATTATTGGTCCCTACAAGAATGTCTGATCATTGCGGGACGTGCCCGGTTGGAAGACCACCGTCTGAGAATTTTCAATCGTTTCCAAGCATTTTTCTTTGGTTTCAATGCCGCGGCTCAACGTGACTGGCGCGTCCTGACAATCCGTAACCGTGCCAGAACACCGTTCCTGGGACTTCAACACTGCGAAACAACCTGACGTAAAGTGACTGTTGCGTCTTGCGTCTTGACAGACTGAAGCCGTGCCAGAACATGATTCCTGGGATTTCAGCCAAGCGACATTTGAAAACTGTTGCAGGCGAGGACGAATGGGCGCGTCGCTGAGGCGAGAGCCACAGTCTGAGAACGAGCCGCTCTCCACCCTCGAAACGGTTGCAAACGTTGATGGCGAATGTGCGCGGTGCTGAAGCGAGACCCATATTTTCCACACCAGCCGCCTTCCTTGTCTGAATCGGTTGCAAACCGTTCGGACGCATGTGCGTGGCGCTAGGGCGAGAGCCACATATTTTGAAAGCAGCGCGCCCTCTATCTTTCCAGCTACTGCAACTGCTGGCGACGACTGTGCGCGGCGCTTTGGCGAGAACGTCATTGTCCAGGAGGGAAAGAAACACACAGACACAATGAATCCTCGATTCCCCAGAAAATATATGAAAATATGGGAAGTGGGGGGGGAGACAGAAACCCTGAAAATATGGGAAACTATGGGGAATAGTTTTATTTGTGTGTATTTATGTGTGTGTGTGTCCTTGGGCTCCTTCAATTGTGGAAATGACCCGTCCTCTATCTTTGAGGCTGTTGCAAACTTCAAGTTTCCAGACCATGAACGGGGAGGGAGTCTGAGGCGAAACGCCAGACCTGCAACATACCGAAGCTTTCTTGGGGGGTGCGACAGGGAGGAGTTATTCTCTTGCATATTTGTGCTCTGAGAGCTCGGATCTCTGTATCTCCGTCAAGTCCTGGGTGGTCGTCCTGGCCTCCTTAACTTCCACTGGCTTTCCCTGGCCTTGCCCCCCCCCCTCCCCCCAGGACTTCGGATTGCTCTATTTTCGCCATCGTCGTGCGTGTCGTCGTTGCTTCGTGGCCTCCCCTGGCGACCTGTTCTGGTCACCCGGGTAGCCCTGGCTTCTGGTCTCTCTGGCTTCACTTGGCCTTCCTGCAACCCCCCGAGGGT